CGCCACTCCCCTCCGCGGTGACATCACGCGGTGACGCGGAACTGCTTCCTACTGTGACGTGGAACGTAACAGGCAATCCTGCGGCTATATAAGTGAGCTGCAGTGCCGGTACGAGTAGAGTTCTAATGTGGGTACCAAGAGTTCTAATGTGGCTATCAGGGAGTTCTACTGTAGCCGCCGCCTAACACAGTTGTACGGTGACAGCCGCCGAGTTATAAAGTAACAGCCAGCCGACTACAAGTTGGAGTATAGCAGCCGTCGCGGAAAGAAGATCCGGACGTGTGTGTAACTGTGTAATTGAGAGCGTGTGATACAGTGATACCTAGCTCCCCTATTGTAAACGTGTAGACTACTGAAGACAGAGTGAACTGATTTGCGCATAGGGTTAGAGATCGTGAAACCCCGCAACAGTGTCGACAGATTAATGCGATTAGGGTTATAAAGTGTGAAACCCCGCAACTGTGAGATAAGTGATTGTAGCCGTTATTTGTAGATTGTTAAATAAACCCAATTAACCATCTCTACGGCGTCTTCAGTAACGTAAACACGTTACAATATATATTGTTTGCACTTGGGACGGATTTTGTATCATTTATCGTGTAGAGTGCAAGAGGATGCTTAAATATAATAAAGTAGAAATCACTTTGTGCAAAATCGGGACTGTACAGCAGATGTGTCAGAAGGTTCCATTTCAATTTCCGGGGGGTTTTCCATTGTTTTGGCTGTATGGAGGCGTGCATTGTCTTGAAGGAAGGCTACCCACTTTCCACCTCTCTTCCGCTTGGATCGGATCTTTTCCTTCACGTCTGATGCCAGGAGGTCTGAGTAATAAGCTGCATTGACTGTTCCGGCATCTGTCAGAAAGTCTACATGGATAACCCCCCCTGCCAGTCCCAGAAGAACGTTGCCATCACTTTTCCTGCCAAACGGCTCCTCCTCGCTCTCTTGGGTTTGGGAGAACTGGTATGCCGCCACTCGCGTGATGATTGCTGGGACTCTGGAATGAAATAGTACACCCACGTTTCATCGGTGGTCACTATAGACTTCAAAAATGCATCACCTTCATCTTCTACTGCTGTAGGAGACGACTGGCAACTTGCATGCTCACCATTTTGTTCACGTCCGTCAAAGTGCGTGGTACCCACCGTGCATTCACCTTGCAATAGTGCAGGTGGTATTTCATGATGTCTTCTACACTACCAACACTGATGGACAGCATTGCTCCAAGTTCCTTCATAGTGATGTGCCTATTCTCACGAATAAGTGCGTCTGCACGATCTGTGTTTGGCTTGGTGACGGATGTTCGCGGCCGACGATCATGCGGTTTGTTCTCCATGCGCTCTCTGCCCTCTCTGAAGCACTTACACCACTCAAACACACAGGTCCGTGAGAGACACTCTTCCCCATACTGTTGTTGGAGTGTGTGGTGAATTTCAGCGGACGGGACGTTTTCTCCGAGGAATTTGATCACAATGTGTTGTTCCATGCTCTGCCATACCTCTGTTCACTCATCACTCTGGCAACTTCCAGACAGGACTGAACAGGTTCTAACCCTAATAGGAGGGAAGGTGAAGGTTGTGGCTTCACTCTCTCAAGGTCACACAGCTGCTGCGCAGTGCGACTTGTTTACAAAGAAATCAGTCCCGGTCATATTTGAACCACCTAGTGTATAAGTATGTGAAAGAGGCTGGGCCAGCAATTACAGTGAAGAACGTAGGAGTGGAAGCAGCGAAGGCAACAGGCATATCAGAAAGTAGTGTCAGAAGAGTAATAAGAGAAACAAAAAATATCAAATCTGGGGCTTCCACTTCCTTTTCGACACCTCATAAAGAAGGACCTAGGAAATCTCCACTAGCCACTTTGGACAACTTTAATGAGTACGTGGGGCAAAGAACAATTAATGACTTCTGCAAAATCGAAAAATGGAGACCTACCCTGAAAAACGTTCACGAAAAGTTGAAGAAAACATTAGATTTTGAGGGATGCATCTCCACATTAAAGACAGTTATTTTGAAACTGGGATTCCGCTGGAAGAAAACAAAAAATTATTGGCAGATACTGGTGGAACGATATACAGTGGAACCTCGCTTAACGAGCATAATTCGTTCCACATCTTACTCCTAATGTGAAACACTCGTTAAACGAAACAATTTTTCCCATATAAATTAATGTAAAATATGATGATGCATTCCATGCCGAAAAAATACTCAAAAAATTTTCTGTATAACATTTATTCAAAGAAAATTATATATACATTGTTAAGGAGCGTGAATCGTCTTCATCTTTTCTTCTATGCCGAATGAACCAACCTGGAATGCGAATTCGATTTGCAGAAAACTAAAAAAAAAATGAAATACAGTATTTAGTTTATTATTTATGATACATATCTAATTCTTTTTTACTAGAAAGCTGTCTAGAGACATTTGTTTTTGCCGACGCTTCAAAATTTGGTGAAAATGTGACACAGCATTATCATTAAATAAATTTGTAACACGCATAGCCACTGCCTTATTAGGGTGATGCTTCTCAATGTACGATGCAACAGTTTCCCATGCTTTCAGCATTTCTCTTATTGTGCCAGAAGATTGTTGCTTTGCTGTTACTTCCTCCTCCTCCTCTGACAAACTCTCCTCCAAAACTTCTTGCTGTGAAACACAATGCAACTCCATAAGCTCTTCTGTGGTGAGCTCTTGGCTGTGCTTTTCCACAAGCTCATCGGTATCACTGTTATCCACCTCCAGCCCCATGATCTTGGTCAAAGACACAATCTCGTTGACTACAGGCTCCACAGGTACTATCTCAAACCCCTCAAAGTCACATTCGACAACGCTCTCTGGCCAAAGCTTCTTCCAAGCAGAAGTGAGGGTTCTCTTGGTAACCCCTTCCCATGCCTTTTCGATCGTCTTGAGGCAGGCAACGATGTGGAAGTGATATTTCCAAAACTCTCTGAGAGTGAGATTGGTCCCTTCAGCCACCTCAAAACAACGCTCGAAGAGTGCTTCAGTGTACAGCTGAGTAATGGAGTGGTGTTTGGAGGCAGAAACTGGATCTTGATGAATTTAAATTCTTCAAGGAGGTCATCTTGTAGGTCTGGAGGATGGGCAGGAGCGTTGTCCATAACAAGCAAGACATGGTGTGGCAGATTCATCTCAAGCAAATATTTTTTCACAGAAGGACAAAACACTTCATTGATCCAATCAGTAAAAAGGTCACGTGTCACCCAAGCCTTGTTGTTGGACCTCCACATCACATTTAGCCTGCTCTTCTGGACTTTACACTTCTTGAAGGCTTGTGGAGTTCCTGAATGGTAAACAAGCAGCGGTTTAATTTTCAAATCGCCGCTTGCATTGGCACAAAATAGCAGCATGAGACGGTTTTTCATTGGCTTATGGCAGGGCAATGCATTATCCTCTGCTTTTATATAGGTTTGCTTTGGCATCTTTTTCCAGTAGAGACCCGTCTCATCACGATTAAAAACCTGTTGCGGCAGGTAACCCTTAGAAACTACGAGCTTCTTGAAGTCGCTGATGAAGTTCTCTGCTGCTTTGTGTCGGAGCTTGCTGCTTCGCTGTGCCTTACAACGCTGTGGATGCCGGTACTTCTCTTATACTTCACGAACCACGCACGGCTTCCCTTAAATGCTTCTTCTTTGGCCGTTGATGATCCTGGCGCCTTCTTAACGAGGTCGGCGAAAATCACTTTCGCCTTCTCACAAATGATGTTCTCATTAATAGTGTCGCCTTGCAATTGCTTTTCGTTTATCCATATGAGGAGCAACCTTTCAACATCGTCAAGAATACGTAACCGTTGCGTAGATATTCTTGTCACTCCCTTTGAAGCATCTATCCTTAATCTTGTCCTTGTTCTTGAGGATACTGCAAATTGTTGATGTAGACCGAATGTATGTGCGTGCTACATCAGCCACTCTCACACCTCGTTCTTGCTTTCAGTGATTTTACGTTTCATTTCTACCGTTATTTTTATTCTCATATGGCTTTCTTTTTGTGGCTTTTTCTTTGGGGACATTTTGCAAGAGTTATTAAACTTTTTCACAAATAATATGTCTGAAGACAAGTTTGGAAAAATGTGTGATCACAAGCGACACTAAGATGCTAGTGGAACAAGTGCTGAACACAGACTGATATAGCAAGCGCACAATCCGGTACTTCCCCTCTCATCTCTCGTTATGCGAAACATCGCTCGTTAAGCGGATCATTCCCTTACAATTTGTTTTGCTCGTTATGCGAATTACTTGTTATGAGAGGTGCTCATTAAGTGAGGTTCCACTGTAATATCAGAGCCAAACGTCTTCAGTATTTGTGGCAAATTGAAGAATATAGGGAAGAGGGCCACCCAATCATCTACGGATGAAACCTATATACATTCATCGCACACCGCCCCATATGCATGGAGTGATGGATCAATTCAGGGGTTATTTTCCCCTGTGTCCAAAGGCCAACGTCTCATAGTTATCCATAAAGGGGGAGAGCAAGGTTTCATCCCTAATGCCTGTGTCCGCTTGAAATCCCACCAAAAAAGAGGAGACTGCCACAGTGACATGAACTACACCAATTATGAAAAATGGTTAAAGGAGCGACTTATTCCTAACCTTCCCCCATATTCTGTCCTTGTCATTGATAATGCTCCCTACCATCATGTACAACTAAACAGAGGCCCTAACTCAAATTCAAAAGAGATTTTATGATATCCTGGCTAAAATATCACCTTCCACCTGTTACCTTCAATAACACTGATTTATCATCATTGCGGAATCCAGACATATATAATATTATCCTACCACTCAAACCGAAATACCTTTCCTATCAAAATAGTGGAATCTTTGCAGAACACAATCACAATATTTTACAACTCCCTCCATATCACCCAGAACTCAACCCAGTTGAGTTAATATGGGCCAACATAAAAAATTGGGTTGCTGAAAACAATACCACATTTAAGATGGTTGATGGCATTAAACTGGCAGACCAAAAATTGGCTTCCATAACTGCAGGAGAATGGCAGCGTAGGTGCTAACATGTAAGGAACATTGAGCAACAATTAATGTCACGGGAAGGCCTTTTGGACGCAGGATGGGAGTTCGTCTTCCATGCTGGCGGTGATAGTGATACAGTTCAGATGATAGCTCCAATTCACCTGGTGGTGATGAGGAAGGACAGGCATGTGGAGATGATATCTATGCGGACATTGCCGGTGTTGCCCCTTTAGAATAGACCTGTGTAATACGTAAATAAACTCTTCATGTATATAACAGTGAAAAGTGTACGAGTATAATAGTGTATAGTGTATGGTCATAATAGTCTGCCATTCGGCACTTAAAACTTAAACATCGGATGTGTGAACATCATTGAGACTAAACTGCCAACTATATGCAACACAATGAGGTAAGAAATTATTTCCTTTTGAGAACACATGTACTGCATTCCCGTCCACACCTGTCGGCATGCTGGAGCTCTCCCCGCCTCTACCAATACTTCTACTCCGCGTCAGAGGACTGTCACTTCTAAATACTACTACTATACTTGCAATGTTAGAAGCATGTATAGGGCAGGTTCGCTCAGGGCAGTGGCGCAAGAAATCTCAAAATATAGGTTAGATTTAATGGGAGTACAGGAGGTCAAATGGGGTGGAGGTGGCACTGAATCAGCAGGAAATATACACTTTTCTGTGGAGAAGGGAATGAAAATCATGAATAGGTATGCAGAGGTAGTTCCAAGAAATTTGTATGATGATCAGAAAGCAGGTTGAAATGAAGTGTCAGCATAAATGCTTGAATGGTTTGAAATTGAAGCAGTTTTTATTACTTGGATCATAACCATTTTTTTTTTATTCTCACGGGGTAGTTCATAAAGAATTTGTGCCAGCTAATGTGACAGTGAATCAGAAATATTGTCTTAAAGTGTTGGACTGTCCGAGAAAGAGGGTGATTCCAAATGGAAATTGCAGGACAATTGGATCCTTTGAGCTTCATCATGACAGTGCTTCTGCACACACAGCATTGTCAGTTCATGAATATCTGGCAAAAAAGTGCATTCCTATACTTCCACAGGCTTCATATTCTCCAGATTTGCCACTTTGTAGTTTTTACTTGTTCCAAAAATTATAATCGAGAGTCAAGGGCTATCATTTTCAAACACTTGACAGTGTTCAGAAGGATGTAACCGATGCCAACAAGAACCTGATAGAAGCTGACTTCTAGTCCTGCTGTGAGGAATGGAAAATTTGCTGGGCCAAGAGTGTTGCATCAGAAGGATTCTATTTTGAAGGGAGTAATATTGATTTAGGCAAATAATCGAATAAATGGTTTTGTACAAAATCTCATTACTTTGTTAACATGCCTCATACATTCTACAGAAAACTGACCTTAAACGCTGGATATTTTTTTGAAGATGTTACCACACAGAATTTTAGGATGCTGGCTGAAGTGTTACTCATGTCACTTCTATTGGAGAAGATATTGAATATATAAGTGGAATTTTCTAGTCTCATGTGTAGTCTAGTTTCATGAAGCAGATGAGTGATTCAGAAATTATTAAGGCAAGATAAACATACAGACATTATTTTCATACAAAATAAGGAAAGTGGATTGACACAAAAATATTTGGAAACAGTACATTTGAGAACATGACAGCTATTGATGTATGATATTGTAGAAATGTTATCATAAATTTATAGATGCATCTGTTGCAACACAGCATCCACTTTGTTGACAAGCTCAAGAAAGCTGGTGTCCAAGATGCACAATTGTATTGTCTTTTCCAATGGAAATTCTGGTGGTAGTGGTTCAGGAGCCAAGGAACCTGCATAGAAATAGATAAAATTAGTTAATAAGATATGCCAAACTTTTCATGTTACATACTGCTCTAAAATTTGAGACATTTTTAGGGTGAAACAAAGCATGGTGGAAAAACACTTTTTAATTCTTTATGATAGGTTTTTAATGAAAATTCAGAAACTGATAGATGTAATTAGGTCACATACTGGTATTAAAAAGGAGATGGTATAGAGACTGGCTACGGGTTGCATGACCAAGGGGTTCGAGTTCCGAGTCCCGGTAGGATCAAGAGTTTTCTCTTCTCCACATCGTCTAGACTGGCTCTGGGGTCCACCCATCCTCCTAGCCAATGGGTACCGGGGCCTGTTTCCTTGGGAGTAATGTGGTCAGGGTATGAAGCTGACCACACCTCCAGCAAGTGCCAAGGTCGAGAAAATATGGATCTGTACATACAGTCCTCCATGTGCCTTCATGGCATAGTGCTTAATTAGTTAAGCACAGGGACTTTACCTTTACTTTACAGGTATTAACGAAAATTGTTCTGCAGTCACATCGCCGTTCTTATTGTTTATAGCTCCAGTCATATATCTAATATCTTCACTCTTACTGTTTGTTTCAAGCTCAGAAATTGTCTTTCAGATATTCCCTTGTTTTCTGAATTGTCTCTTAATTTCACAACATACATGGTTCAGATTGCCTGCATTCATGTACCTGAATTCAGCAACCACTGCAATCTTGCTAAGATCTACAACCTTTATTTTAATAATGATGAATGTTTTGCAAAATGTAAGAAAAACTAATTTCTAGCTGTCATCAAATACACGTAGTTCTGTAATAAAAGATTTGTAGCAACGGTAATAAATCTAAAGGGCTCTCAGATGCACAGATTTGTGACGAATTTATTTGGGCAGTGTATTTCAGGTCTTTTTCCTCTCTCCTTTTGCTCCCACTTTGGAGCATAGGGCTGATTTCTCAGTTTCACGATCGTTTTACAGACAGTAGGACTCCTTGGATGAGTGATCAGCTCAATGCAAGGCTTCTACCTAAACACACGACAACACAAACACAGAATAAACGCGCGCGCACACACACACACACACCAAACATCCATGCCTTGTGTGGGATTTGAACCAATGATCCCGGCTTCTGAGTGAGCGAAAACAGTACATGCCTTAGACTGCTTGGCTACCGTGACTGGGACTATTTTGATTAGATTACACTTTCCATTCCTGTTTTTGGAATAAAATTTAAAAAAAAAAATGTTGCGTACCTACAAGTGTGTTTTCATTTGAAGCATCTGCCTTCATAAAACGATTGCACCACTCGGATATTGTCATGTGCTCTGACGTGCTGTCCTCTGAAATATGTTAGAAATGCACAACCATGGATACTCTCATATGATTGGAGGGTCTCATAGTGGTGGTTTTGAAGAGTTCCATCTTTTGCGATGTAACACCTTGTAGTCTGTTAAAGTCAACCAAATTCAAGTAAAGCTTTCCTTGTTGCCTGCCTATTGCTGGTTTCTTTCTTGATGACGCATTCATATGAAACTTTCAAGAGACTGCATTTCATTATATCCCAGAAGATAGAACTCTTCCTGGACACCGCCCTTTGATCACAAAGTTTTGACTTTGTCAGAGATCAGTACTATAGAAAGCACTTAAGTATCTTAAATCTCCCTGAGCTGGAACTTGGGGTTCTTTAGTATGGAAATCCAGTACCTTATCCCTAGATTACCAGGTCCCATAATACAGAAAGGGCGTGGATGATGTAGATATGGAGTACAACTGCAAATATTTTGCATACGCAGTTGTGGGCAGCCAGTATAGGATGAGCTGTTGGATGTGGGATTAACAGCACCTCATCACAGAGAGGAAGACAGCATGTTACAAAATGTCACCAAATCTCAATGGAAGAGACCACTTGGGAAACAGCTATATATGGGAAAATGATGTTAAAATGGATATTAGAATGTGAAGGTGTTGGCAGTATTCAGCTGCCTGTGACTGAATCCAATGGCAGGATTTTGTGAATGCAGTACTGTATTTGTATCTACATTTATATTTACATACACCAGAAAAAGGAGAGGACTGAGCATCAAGCCTTGTGCTTATGAGACACCAACTCTTTGTTGTTTGTACAATATGATTCAAACTATTTGCCTCCATTCCCATCTAACCCATAAGATAATTTTGTAATGTCTTAAGACTGACCAGGACAAAACCTTAGCAGGGTCACATACTCTTCCTTCATTATCAATTTGACTACATAAAAAGCCTTCAGCATTTTATGTGTAAATTTGTTAATGGTCAGACTTTTCTTAAACCGAACTGTTCATTAACTAAAATACTGCTACAGTTTAAGTAGTACATTATGCATTTTTACATAACTTTCTGGAACGCTTGGGATAGCGCAATTGGTATAGTGACTGGAATCGGGCTGGATGACCAAGAGGTTAAAGTTTGAGTTCCAGTGAGAGCAAGAATTTTCACATAGCCATGTCGTAAGACCAGCTCTGGGGTTCACCCAGCCTCCTATCCAGTGGGTACCAGGGCCTCTTTGCCTGGGGTAAAGCAGTGTGAAGCTGACCACTTAAAATTTAAATGTTAAATTATGGAAAATTTCAAAAATGGAAAAAATCATTGCCACTTTATGAAGGTTGAACGTATTATATGATTGTGATGCATAATACTAATATGGATCCATGTTAGGTTAGTTCAGTAGCAAAAGACGTATTTGATAAGACTACCTGAAGATGGTCCCATATGTGGACTGAAACATTTAGCAACTGTCAAATGTGAGCAGTTTATTTTTATCTGTTATTGTATTGACAGCCATATACCATCAATTATATGGTAGTCACTGAAAACAGATATTTGTAAATGAGTATAAATTCCTCTGCTTCTACAGTATTGCATTCAAGAAGCAGTATTGCCACTTACTTGTAGGATCACGTATTGATATATATTGCGACAAGATAGTCACACAGTCCCTGGAGTTTGATAATGCAGAGTTAAAATCTGTTGCAGTAAATTTCACACGAAACCGACGTGAAGTTTTCTGAAAACGAAAGTTTTTCTGAATTAATATTTGTTAGGTTCTATATTAGCACTGTATATCATATTGAGTTTGTAATTTTTAGTTTCTATAGCTTTCTGAAGGAAGCAGGTTATATAATATTAATGGGATGATGATTGTAAAGGAAACAGTGATATCCTGTTTTAATGTGTTGCAGAATTTACCTAATGGGACTGAGGAAAACCATGAAAAAGCATAGCCAGCCTCTGGGCCAGGAATGAAACTCATGACTTTCTGAATACTGTATAGCAGGAGAGTTAACTCAGATACTGCAACTGGTGTTGAAGCAAAAGTAAAAAAAAATACAGACGCCATTGTCTATGAATGAACATGACATGGAATTTTGTTCATTCTAGGATCTGCAGAAGGTAACTCCTGAATACCAAGTAGGAATCTTATCCACAATGTCACAACATCAAGCCTGAAGACATAATACATTAAAATGAAATTATAAACAAATCTAGATATCTTGCCTGATGTTTAATAACAATTACGAGGATTGTGTCTTTCCATACTCCTCGCAGTTGACCAGACCCTGAAGCAAGGCTCACTGACTCAAACACAGTTCCATATTGAACCACCAGTAACTGCATATTCTGCAATTGAAGCAGTTAGCTTTATTATTTGACACAAAAGAAAATGCTGTTATAGATCATGTATATGTGCTACAGGGTGACAAAGAAATAGGACTACTCAATTTTTAATGCCTATTATGAGGCCTGTGGGGCGCCTACTATGATTACTTTGTTTATTTTGTGTACAAAACAACTAAAAAATGCATAAAGTTGTTCTGTTAAAGTGTTATATTGGAGAGTTATATGAAACACTGTCAGGCCTTCTCCAGTTTCATTTAGGTCAAACAGTTCTAAAATCGCTTTACACGAAGACATAAGTGCTGCTGCATGCTTCTAGAGCATAACTCACTAAATATTTATCATAGCAAAAAACCTTTGGAATGGAAGCTGTAAAGAAAAATGAAACACACATTTTATGCCCAATACACTTTGGTCTGTAAACATTTTGGTTACAGAGGTAATTAAACAGTAATGAGTGAATGTGCTTGAATCATTACTATATGTAATGGTCTTCAGAACACAGGAATATTTCTAATGTCTCTTGTTTATTTATAATTCACAGACTCCAGGTCTGGTGTTTGTGTTTTGTAAAAAACTGAAAATCATTTAAAATGCATTTATCAGTGTTTTGCTTGAAAGTATCAGTTTCACACCATTCAAAAGAGAATCAAAAGTTAGCATTAATAAAATGAAGATCAAGAAACTATAACAGAGCAAACTTGCTCTAATTGTTATGCAATGCATATTGTCACATGTTTGGAATCCAGAAGGGTTACTTCCATGGAAACGGTAGAACAGACCGTTGCATAGGAAGTATGCACGTGACAGTATATTTTATAACTTCTTTTAATTTTGGTAATATTTTCCGTAGCATTGTAACTTCTGCATTCAGCGGTGAAAGTGAGCTCCAGTGCAACACAGATCACTCCACATCGTTTCTCATCATTGTCACATATGATTCCTATAAATTAATAAGATGAAATGTAGGTGGCTGAACATACTGGAAAATAATTTTTATTGTGGGTAGGGTTGGGCTTATTACCTTGTTGTTTGCTGATTACCGGATGATCATTGCCAAATGTTAAAACAAGTTTTAAGGATCCATCTAATTATGCCAAGCAAGGGAAATCTGATCTAAACTTCACCTTAAGAGGACAAGAGTGAAGGCACTTGATGGAACTGAATTGGTTAAAGAAAAATTATTGTACTCAGAAGTGCTGGGTTCTTGGACTCTTGTCTATTCAATATTCTAAAAAACTATAGAGCACAATGTTTCGGAAATTGGATCTCGACAAAGTTCAAGAATCCAGTATATTTCGAGTGTCATACACCATGATCAGAATCCTTTAGAATCTAAGATATTTGTGGATGAAAAGATAAATCAACAAGTTAGCAGTTTTAAATATTTGGGTTATGAAATGGAGAATAAGGGAAAGGTGTGAAAGGCCCGTATGGTTGTGAGTCATCGAGGCTCCCACATTTTCTTGAGACAGTTGGCTCACAGATGATGGTAAGGTCAGCCTTATGTGCCGGCTGCACTTTACCCTCCCCCCCNCCCAGGAAGTTTCCTAGTACTCATTTCTCTTAGAGGCTGAGTCAACGTGATGGCCACAGTGCGGCTCAAAGGATTAAGTCAAGTAAAAAAATTCACCGGAATGAAGTGGAAATATGGAGGAGAAATCAGGTTCCATTTCAACTATAATAGAATTCATTAGATAAAGAGGTACATAAGAAGTATTGTTAAAAGCTATACAAGATAAAAGCCATGTCAGTGTTACATGGCTATGAAACCTGGACCCAAAGAGCAAACCATAAATGTGAAACACACAGCATCCATAAAATAATGGCCTTGTAGAATAGGCTGAAAAGACTTTATTTTGAGTATGTGTAACAGCTGCTTAGCAAAAAAAGGCATGGAAGTGCAAGCTGACAGGACTCTTAACTGGTAGAGATGGCAGAAGGAAATTTAATGGAGTGTGAATGGGGTATATGAGCACAGTCCTCCTAGTTGATGATGGTCATTATAAAATAATTTTCAATGCCAAAGTTTTGTTGTTCCCACCATCATATTTCTGTTAGAGTTTACTTACAATTGATACAGCTAAAGCACAGCTCATAGTTGAGTACCCAATACTCTTAATGTCAAAATGTACCAGTATTTTCATCTATATTACTATGTATAGGTACTTCATATTTTTGTGGGAAGGTACGTATATGCACACACAAACATATAATGTTTATCATGTTTTAGAGCAGCTATTTTCAGTAACCACGTATGGTTTTGATTTTAGTTTGTTCTTGTTTACTACTATGCCACTGTAAGCCACTTCACCTTGCATTCACAAACTTGCATCTTGTATTGTGAAGTACTAAAAGAGCTGTAGGACCATTCAGAACAGAAGGCATGGAAAGCTGACATCCAGGGTAATGCTCCTCCATAACAATGCCTGTCCACTTGAGCACTGCTGGAGCATATCAACTTGGAGTTCTTTGACCACCCTCCTTACAACCCTGATCTTGCTCCAAGCAGTTACCATCTGTTTACCTGCCAGAAGAACTGCTTGGGATCACAGTGATTCAACAGTAATGAGGAGTTTATGAAAGATGTCAAAACCTCGGCACAGCTCACAGGCAGACTTCTTTTACACAGGCATACAAAAACTTATTCCTTGATACAACATGTGGCTGAATACCAGCGGTGACTTTGTTGAGAAGTAGCTTAAGTATGTATGTATTTTTTGCATGTAATAATTTTTTCTGATTGCTTATTTTGTTAACAGCTCAGAGGAGGTTACTTTCCAAATAAGCCTCATAAATCTTCTAAGGAACCCCTTCTGCACCCAGGATCTCTAAATGTATGATTCAGAAATAATAAACTTGCTTATTTCTTATACAGTGGAACCTCGCTTAACGAGCACCTCTCATAACGAGTAATTCACATAACGAGCAAAACAAATTGTAAAAAAAATGATTCGCTTAACAAGTGACGAGAGGGGAAGTCCTGGATTGTGCGCTTGCTACCTCAGTCTGTGTTTAGCACGCGTTCTGCTAGCATCTTAGTGTTGCTTGTGATCACACGTTTTTCCAAATTTGTGTTCAGATATATTGTTTGTGATTTTTTTGTCCAAAGTATAATAACCCTTGCAGAAATGTCCCCGAAGAAAAAGCCGCAAAAGGACAGCCATAAGAGAATAAAAATAACCGTAGAAATGAGACTTAAAATCATTGTAAAGTGAGAACGAGGTGTGAGCATAGCTCACACCTCGCTCTTGCTTGTTATGGACAACACTCCTGCCCATCCTCCAGACCTACAAGATGCCTCCTCGAAGAATTTAAATTCATCAAGATCCAGTTCCTGCCTCCCAACACCACTCTGTTACTCCAGCCTATGGACCAGCAGGTTATTTCCAACTTTAAGAAGCTGTACACTGAAGCACTCTTCGAGCTTTGTTTTGAGGTGACTGAAGGGACCAATCTCACTCTCAGAGAGTTTTGGAAATATCACTTCCACATCGTTGCTTGCCTCAAGATGACCGAAAAGGCATGGGAAGGGGTTACCAAGAGAACCCTCACTTCTGCTTGGAAGAAGCTTTGGCCGGAGAGCATTGTCGAATGTGACTTTGAGGGGTTTGAGATAGTACCTGTGGAGCCTGTAGTCAACGAGATTGTGTCTTTGACCAAGATCATGGGGCTGGAGGTGGATAACAGTGATACCAATGAGCTTGTGGAAAAGCACAGCCAAGAGCTCACCACCGATGAGCTTATGGAGTTGCATTGTGTTTCACAGCAAGAAGTTTTGGAGGAGAGTTTGTCAGCGGAGGAGGAGGAGGTAACAGCAAAGCAACAATCATCTGGCGCAATAAGAGAAATGCTGAAAGCATGGGAAAATGTTGCATCATACATTGAGAAGCATCACCCTAATAAGGCAGTGGCTATGCGTGCTACAAATTTATTTAATGATAATTCTGTGTTGCATTTTCACCTAATTTTGAAGAGTCGGAAACCCTAAGGACAATTATGACATGGCGAGCGAGTATTTTGTACTTCAATTTTATGGCTTCATGTCACTCACAAGTTAGTTTGATGTTACGTACATTATTAACATTACAGAATCCACATATTCCTGCCAGTTTTAATATGTATTTTGTAATCAACAAGTGTGCAACGCCGGTCAAAGTTTGACACTTCTCTGGCCATTATCTCCATAACCGTTCAACTTTGGACATAGGTGTTTTGGGTTATATCAGCATACTTTAACATAAGGAACACCCTCCCGAAGTTTGGTCCATTCCTCCTGGGACATCCTGTATATATAATTTTCTTTGAATGAACGTTATACATAATTTTTTTTTAGTATTTTTTCGTCATGGAACGCAATATCGTATTTTACATTAATTTATGTGGGAAAAATTGTTTCGCTTAACGAGTGTTTCGCATTACGAGTAAGATTCTGGAACGGATTATGCTCGTTAAGCGAGGTTCCACTGTATTCCATTTCTTCAGCATCTTTCTGGTTGACAGGTATGCTGAGTGTGTTATTGGTACTTTTCTTGAGTGTGCCATCATTTATTCCGGGATTTCATGGCCTACAATGATGAAATTTATGTAACCAGACTTGTAGGTCTTATTTCTTTGGGTAACTGACTGAGGTATTCATATTGTCACGTGTTGGGTGTATAACGCGACAAATAACTTCACGGCGTATTCGAAATAGCGAATTTATTGCACATTCGCTCTTACAGTCGCCATTTACAATCTCACAACTACTGCCATCGGCAGTATCACAAATATTTACGGCAATTAACTGGTTTCTCTTTCTCTAGTAACTGGCTCAATACTCACTAGTGAATCGTGTTCCGTGCTCCTTATTTAGCCTCGGCACGGACAACACAGAATACAGTTACGTAATAGGTGGCGCTGTTGCCTGACGCCGTGTTTACCGGTTGCCTAACAGCAGTCGTTGCATGGGGTTCCCTGTTGCGTGACGCCGTGCTTACAAAGGCGTTGCTGGGCAACGCTGCCGAGAGTTGTTTATTGCTGCATAGCAACCGCGGGGGAGGGGGGAAGTACAGGCGTTCTCAAAAGGAAAAAACTTCTTACGTCATGGTGTTGCATAGTGATGGTGGTTTATTCTCGTTGATGTTCACACATCCGATGTTAAGTTTTAAGTGCCGAATGGCAGACTGTTATGCACTATACACTGTTATACACTTTTCACTGTTATATACTTGAAGAGTTTATTTACATATTACACAGGTCTATTCTAAAGGGGCAACACCGGCAATGGCCGATTATTTTTTGTTTTCTTCCAGCGGAACCGCAGTTTCAAAATAATTTTCTTTAATGTGGAGATGCATCCCTGAAAATCTAACTATTTTTTTCAACTTTTCATGAACGTTTTTCAGGGTGGGTCTCCGTTTTTCGACTATGTAGAAGTCATTAATTGTTCTTCGCACCACAGACTCGTTAAAGTCGTCCAAAATGCCTAGTGAAAATTACCTAGGTCTTTCTTTATGGTGTGTCGAAAAGGAAGTGGAAGCCCCAGATTCGATATTTTTTGTTTCTCTTATTATTCTTCTGACACTACTTTCCGATACACCTATTGCCTTTACTACTTCCACTCCTATGTTCTTCACTGTAATTGTTGGCCCATCGTCTTTCGTATACTTGTATACATTACTAACAATTTCTCTTGATTGTGAATGCAACACTTTTCCAATCAATTTACTTCGTGTAGGTGGCATGTTAAAGGAGACAGAGAAAAAATGTACAAATATAAATAAAAAAGAAAATCAACGAATAAAATAAATAATAAAATATTGTCACTGTCACCACTTGACTTCTGGCCCAATACTTCAGTGCCACGTCTCAACTATCTTTGGCTGTGGTTGGATCTCAACTGTCTTCGGGAACGGCTATCCCAGTACTGACTTCTTGCTGTCTTCTGTCCAAGTGAAAGTCACAGTGCGACTGACGGTCATGTATTCGATCCCGCCTCCACACGGGGATGTCGAGGCGGGTTCGAATACCTCCACCTTGACCCTGCGAGTCGTAGGAGGCGACGAAAAGGGAAGTCTCAAATCTGTCTTCTGTCTCTGTAGCTCTCGGCTTATGTAGGTGTTCTGCGGACTGGATACCAGATACCATTCCTCACTGTTTCGTTTCTACTGTCCGCTGTTACGTAACGGTCGCAACGAACTCTCTGTAGTTCATTTCTGGGGAGACGCGTTCGTTGCTTCTGCATTGTCTACGCAACGGCTCCCTGTTCTTTGCGTTAGCATGGAATTGCCTATTCCAAACTCACGTGTTCGGCAATCTGTTGCCTCGGGAACCCTCCTTCGCAACGGTCTGTTTGTATTCGATTTGTCGCTGTTGGAACTCAACAATTTCCATTGTAGCCGTTGCGCGGCGATGGACGTAAGGTAACGCGTCACAATATTAATGCAGTAATTAGAGAATAATACACTTAAATACGACTCCTGGAGTCAAAACTTTTTAACTTGACTGTACAAGGAAGAACTCTTGGGACATCCGCTAGCACTGAATGCCGATGAATGACTAATCACAGCACCCCTCAACTTTCACGAATGGACCTGCCCATCCACGGCGCAGCTTTTCCTGGACTGTCAGCTCTAGGTACCAGAGCTATACATCCCCGTTCATTTTTTTCCCCGTTGCTGTGCTTGCTGTGTCTCCCGTTGTTTCGGCTACTCCTCTTGCAGCGACTATTCTCCGGCCGTTACATCCGCTCCCCTCTTAAGACCAGCTCGTGCGATGGATGAATGTGATATAACTGGATCTTCTGGCAAGTCAACAGGAAACCGCTCGAGACGAGCTGGTCTTAAGAGGGGAGCGGATGTAACGGACGGAGAATAATTGCTGCAAGAGGAGTAGCCGAAACAACAGGAGTCACAGCAACGGGAAGAAAAAGGAACGGGGAAGTACCGTTAGGCTGTTCTGGACGAACAATCTTTAGAAGGGAGCAGTGTGACGTATTTGCGCTATGCAGGACATCCCCTCCCCCACCAGCGGTGACGTAAGACCTTCGGAGCGTTGCCGCTGCTACGGTAACAGGCCAGTGAACACCCCTCCCCCTCCCGCGTTGACGTTACCAAGGGATGCCGCCGTTGCTATGCAGCAGTAAACAACTCTCGACAGCGTTACCCAGCAACACCTGTAAACACGGTGACTAGGCAACAAGGAAGCGAGGCGTTTCCCGTTGTCCAGCTGAGGGTTTATAAGACAACTGGACTGCCTAAGGAGTCAGTTAAAGTGTAGCAGTCCCTGAAGACAGTTAAAATATAGCAGTCGCCGAAGACAGTTAAAGCGTATCAGTCGCCGAAGACAGTTAACTGTTTAACAGACACACACAAAAGTTAGCGCACTGCAGGAAATAAACACTAAATTCTGGTTACTTCTCTTTAAATTCAAGTTCTAAACACACAAGGATATGATATCACATATACTTTGTGTTATTTATCATTGTGGCACTTCATGATATAGCATGCAAGTGCCAAATACTCGTAGATCACTTTATTAATTATACCATATATGGTCTGTTGGTAGACTGGACACTCCTGTATCATTTATATGTTTGCTTTCTAAGTGACAAAGCAGCACATAGATTTAGATAAATTTATTTATTCTAAACCATATTGTCACAATTTAAGGGTGTTAGATATGGATTGCATATTGGATTTATTATCTACTTGTATACACCACTCAGAACTACACTTTACATATTGCTGACACACATGGTCTAATGTCCTCAGTCTGTTACAGTTACCACTAGCCGTTTCATGGCAACGGGTCTTAACACAGGAACTATAACACCCTCACTGAATCACACATAAAGCCGTCCTTTCACACCCACACTCTTGCAATTAACTCTTTTCTTCACAGCCTCCTGTACAGAACTCTTCTCAGTTGACTGTATCCCAGGCTGGTGGTGATTTCACACCAACCTCCTAGTCTACCTTTCACAGGCTGAATTTCAATTGAACCCTCTCACTCAGTCTGAGGTCCACACTATGTAGGTCGTGGCCAACCCAACAGAAAACACTGCCTCCAACAATCCCTCTATTGCTAATGTGTTTACTGGCTGTTAACAAGGGACCCATGTTGCATCTCAGGATCATTGCATAGCAACCATACTACACGTTACAATATATTGTCTTGTAGAACTGCTAGGCAGACACAGCAGAAGAAAATAGAGAAGAGAATTTATAGTATACATAGAAAAAAATCATAACACAATCCTAGAACTGATAATATTTCTATTACAATGAAAACTAAAAAATTATTATACAGTATTTGCAAGTTTCTCTGTGCAAATAAAATAAAAATAAAGAGTATTTAAATATCTTCATATTGTTTTTACCTCAATCAAGAGTGTAAGCTGGCCCTCACTACTATCCACCTGATGCCAGCAGTTGCCGTCCCAACGAGCATACTTCTCCAGTGGCCACATCCTGTCTCTGTTTCAATAAAAACAAGGAATCTAATAACAATATGGCAAACTTTTGCAGTATGTTTGATAATCTTAGATTTGGATCATTATTATTCCTAAGATTTAAATAGAGCTCTCTTTTGTGCTGACATGAAATCTTCATACCATCTGTCACCCAAGTGTTATATTTAGTTTTAATTTTAAATTGTTTTTCTTGAACAGTTAGAGTCGAATATTCTTATATTAGTATTAAGAAAGGAGTTGAATATTGTATCAACATCCTGATCAACGAGATATTCTCCCAAGTTTCATAACTTAATTCAGTCAAAAACTCATTCATAGAGGACTTACTAAATTTCCTTACTAATTGGGTGCAACTGTTATGTGTTTGTAAGTTAATATTATTTATGTATATAATCTGGTCATCATGATCAGACAGACCATTGACAGGTGGATTTGTGGTATAATTTCCACTTCTGTTAAGATCAATGAAAATATTAACAATTGCAGAGATTGAATTATTTCCGATTCTAGTAGGAAAGTGCATTGTACTACAGAGGTTAAAAGAAGATAACAAGGTGTCTAATTGTTTTTCCCTATTGTTGTCAACAAGATAATTATCGTTTATATTGCCACAGATAATAAATTCTAAATTAGCATTGTATAGGTATTTTATAATGGCATCTAAGCCGTTACCAGATGGAGCTCTATAAATGGATAGAATACAGATATTGTTAAATGGAAATTGAAGTTTAACTGCACATACTTTTAAGTCTTGCTCTTTGCAAAATTCATTTAAGTTAACATTTGAAAATTTTAATTTTTCGTGTACAAAAATACATACTCCACCTTGTCTAAGAGCTTATCTGCAATATATAGCACCAAGATTGTAGTGCTCTATATAACTGTGAACTAAGTCTGGGTGATGTTCCATTAAACATAACAAATGTGACAGTTCAGGATACAAGGAACTTATAAGCTCGTTTGTTTTGCCTTGTAAGTGCATGATATTTTGATGATATATATTTATTGAGTTATTATCAGAAGAATATATTAAAAACTTGTTATTATCGTAGGACTGAGCGTTAATTCTCAAATGATCTTGGTTTGATTCAGCATTTGGTCTCTAAGTATTATATGCTCTGTCTAAACTATTAGTCCTGAAGTTACAAGCTGAGCCAGAAATATGTTTCACCATAAAAATCCTCATTTATTGTTACAGGAGTTCTCCCTTGTCTAGTAGACATTCTGTTTCCTACTATTTTCGTTAACGTTGGTTCAGGATTCTGTGAAAGATGAGTTAAATTTAATTTTATTGGACCTATTATTTCTATGCTGCTTTATGTTGCAGCAGTAGGAGAACCATTATTTAGAACCATGTTAGAAGTTTCAATTTTCCAACCTAAACTGATTGGAACTGTAGCCTCTTTTAATATTTTATATCAGTAATATTAATATGAGAAACAAGCTGCTTAGAAGTCACATCTTTACCTAACTTGTTTACATGGAGTCTGTGGTTTGTAAAAAGTCCCCTATTAAGGTCCATATTTAAGAGTGTACAGTGCTCATATATTTTAATGCATTTAACTGATTTTACTATTGAACATAATAATTCCCTTGTTTACGCAAGAAGATTTTATCAAGTCAACATTTTCATCACCTGGTTTGGTACTTCACAGATGTGCTGATGAATTAACAACATCAGCATACCTACAAGTGGAGCTTCGCTGAAGGGCCATGTTACGAGAAGCCATGATTTTCCTATAGAATTTAAGACCTGGTTGGAAAGATGATGAACGATGGGGCTGCAATTTGGGCTACTTGGATTAGATGTTCACTAAATCATGTAGGTCTTTCCTTTGAGTTTTGAGGGCCTTATTGTCTGTTTTAAGCTGAGTGACATCATCACACAGTTTGTGTACAGTTCACCAAAGATCTGATCAAATCAAATGGCCAGACCCCACACTGATTAACAGTCTTCAGCTGCATACACAACATCTCATATTTACTGGAATGAGTGAGTGGCAGCAGAACATGTTACATTTCTAGCGAAACCACTTTCTTGGCATGGTCAGATGTAGAAGACCTGTGCATTGTTACACCAATGCAAGCTTAAACAATTAACAAGGTTGGCACATTTGATGATAGACACCTGAGTCAATATAATACACGTTATTTTGTTGATTTGTAGACAGCTAAAATTATATCGGGTAGTTCAAGGCTCAAAACACTGAATAAATTTCTGTTTTCTATAACAGACTTCAGAGCACATGTTACAAATATCTTAAGTCATAGCCAGGGTGGCCACAGGAGACTGAAAAGCCCAACCCTCCCATATGACACAAGGGCTAAACAGCTAACAATAACAAAAACAAATAAACAACATGATGATGATAATAATAATAATATGTGAAAACATTTTGATTTTTCACAGTGTTAGAGAGAGGGTAATTTGTGGGAAGGTAACAGCAGCTAGGGTAGTTAAGACGTACTCCCCATCTGATGGAACATGTAGGTTCATTACCATGTTCACAACAGCCTGCCAATAGATTATCCTGTGACGAATTAGTATCCTTACACCCTACTTGTGTAAATTTCATTTTAATATTATCATCTCTCCTTGGTCGATGTGAGCTCTTCATTTCAGGCCTTGTGACTAAAATTTTGCATGTAATTCTTATTATTGCCAAATTAATGGCCAGGTAAGGCAAATTTCTAATCCAACGGCATAATTAATTTATTATTATTATCTTCTAGAATCAGTGGTTAATCTCGCCACTCAGCATTCAAGACTGTAGTACTTCCATTATTATGTGTGATGCTCCCATTATTATTGTTGTTGCCACATTTGTTATTATTAGTTACTCCTACTATAAAAGAAATGACTGCTTCATTTTACTTACCGTATTTACGCATGTATAGGCCGCACATTTTTTGCCAAAAATTCAAGAGGAAAACTGGGGTGTGGCTTATATTCGAAATATTGGAAATCACACTTCATTTAAAAAAATATATATATTCATAATTAGTAATACAGGGTGTAATACTCCTGAAATAATATTCCAAGAAAATTATTTTTTCTATAATTTCTGTCCGAAAATTGTGCTGCGTCCTATACATGCGTAAATACGGTATTTATGATGCAGTTAATGATGATATTTATTTTGTAACCTAGATTTCTGCCTATTTTAAATTTCACTGACCTAACCAGAAGCAAAATAAGCAACAATACACATTGGAATTATTACATAACAATATTTATACTTGGGGTGCAATAAAATAATACATTTATATTTCTTTATTCGCTTATTGAAAAGACTTATTACCTGAACAGAATCTAACTTCGTATGCAAGTTTCTGCCAACAACACGAATTTAAATTATTCATAAACAGCGCCACTTCACCAGTTACAGAATACTGTGTGGCTTTGTCTACAATCACAGTTTGTGTGCCAACACGTGGTGGTAGTCTAAACGGTCTAGACGTTGTGCGTTTAAACGAATGGGTCCTATGAAGGTTATGATTTTTAATTTTTTTAAAAGATTCGTGAGATGGGATATTTAGAAGTATGGATAATGATACCGATGATGAATTGGTAGCATCATTACTAAGGAGTAAGAGCAAAATATGGGAAGACAAAAAACGTTTAGGCCTACTAAAAGAACATGTAAGTTTCTTTCCTGAAATTTGACATTCAGAAAATAAATTACGTTTTTGTAAGATACCAGCGTGAATGCAAGTGGCAGTGTACTGTCTTCTGGCTTATAACGTTGTGTAATACGTCGATTGACTTTCAACGAACTACACGGCGGGATATCCCAGAAGATAATCACTGCTGTGAAAATTTCAGTTCCTACAAAGTGTAAGTGAAATCAGAAAAAGTAGCTTTCTTCTTTAAATTGCTCATAAATTTACTATTACACCCAAGTAAGATGTATAAGATGCAATAAAAACTTTCTCTTACGGTGTAGTGTGAACCTGCTGTACACATACAATTTCTATGATAGATGATGATAGAATTCAGTCTACTGAATTATTTGCTGTTGATTTTAAAACTGTAGGTTATATGATTTTAAAGTGATGCATTGTGAAGTGAGGTTGTGCAATAAAATGTGTCTAAGGGAATCCCAACATGGTTATTCATGTCATACTAATGGATGGCAAGAGTTTTAATTCCATTACACATTGTTTAGGTTTTCTAGTAGTGTAGTAAAAGTGTTCTGTATGTAATTTGTTGATATAGAGGCATAGCCCCAAGAGAATTTATGCTGTGCAAATGAGTCAGATAAGAATTATTTTGATTTGATGAAAATTATTGGAGGTCCATAATGTATTTTAGAACATGTTAAGAATAAGGTTAATTTCCACCTGCAGTTTTTGGGGAAGTGTCTTCTTTATGTTTTCTATCATCTTTCTCTTCTACTACACACGTACTGGTGGTTCTCAATGAACTTACCTTTTTTTTCAGCAGCAGCTTCAGTTTTAATGTTAACATCAATTTTAAGGTAATCCTCTGCTATAACATTTTCAGACATAGCTTGAGTAAGTGATACTTAAAGATCATGGACTTTTTCCTATGTTTCCTTCTCATTCAAATCATTAGTTAAAAAAACAGTATTATAAAAATATTTCTGAACTATTTCAGGTGATGCTTGTGCTAGCCAAATTACTACATAAACACAGAAATAGAGTTAGCAAGTTCAGTAGCAGAAGATATTCCATATTGACTAGAAGCAATTGCATAAGAAGTGTATGGTAGTTCAGCTTCACACATTTTATAATGCCTTGGTCCATGGTTGAGTAAGACTTGCACATTTGTGGTGCTGAGTGAGAATCATTCAGGCTATATGCAGAGCATATACGCTGTTAAGTTTGAGGATGGCATGTCACATTGTCCAAAAAAAAAATAACAATGCAGTTCTGTCATGTCTTCCCCACATTAAATGTCATGAAGTATTCTATCCTGGTATGAGATATCATCTGCATGTTTTTAAAGTTTCTAGCCCCCACACTTAGTACACACCCCCCACACAATAGCATTGATATTTTCATTTCCATTTTTCCATAATTTTTCTTTTAATTGAAGCTGTATTACAGTTTTGTCATTGTTTTCTATTTCAGATTTTGCTATGAAATTGTCATACACTTGAGTTTTACCATTGCAAAATGTCACAATTTGTGTTACCAATAACTTATCTAGTCCCTAGCATCAGCCACTTTAAGTTTCATGTCAAATTTGAGCATTGGGAGTTTGTGGCAGGCACCCATCTAGTGAAACTGCAGTGCCTGCAAAACAAGGTTCTCCACGCCATTGGGAATTTTCCAAGGTGCCCACCGGTCCGCGATTTGCAAATGGCATTCAAAATTCCCATACGTATATGACTATAACAAAATTATGCAAGCAACAAGCAGAAATCATACAAAATCATGATAATGAGAATGTTCACAACATTGGACAAGGTGAAGCCCAACACAGAAAGTATAAGAGGCTTAAACTTGGCGGTGGTCAGGCATATGACTGTTCAAGTGACTAGACTGCTGTGGTAGCAAATACTACTTGAAATAGAGCGTAGTCTGCTGTACTGAGCCTAGACTGACAGAGGCCTTGTAAATTGTCATGTGTTGGGTATATGTCACGCGACAAATAACTTCACGCCTTATTTGATATAGCGAATTTATTCCACTCACTCTTACAATCACACAATTTACAATCTCACAGTTACTGCCATTGGCAGTATCACAAATACTCTGGCGAAAGATAAACAGCAATTGACTGGTTACTCTCTCTCTACTAACTCACTCACTAGTAACTGGCTCAATACTCGATAATCACTGAATTCGGCTATCGCTAAATTGAAACTGAACTCCTGAATAGTGTTCGCTGCTACTTATTTAGCCTCAGTATGGACAAAACAGAAAACAGTTATGTAATAGGTACCGCTGTTTAGTACCATCGTGTTTACCGATTTCCTAGCAGCAGTCGTTGCACGGCTCGCCTGTTGCGTGACGTCATGTTTACCGCTTGCCTAGCAACATGTCACCGCGGTGTAGGGAGACAGAGTGTTGACTGGCCTGTTATGTCACCACGGGCGGGAAGGGGGCGGAGAGTTGACTAGCGCTGTTATGTCTGCTGGTGGGGGAGGGGGGTGTCCTGCATAGCATGAATACTTCACAATATATTATACATACTAGATATTAAGACTCAATTGTAAATAAGTGTACATACTGACAAAGAACTAATACTATCGACTATGACTGACAAATGACAGACCCGACTTCTTGTCAGAGAAGGCGCCCCACATGGACAGGACAGTAATTTTCATTTAAAAAGTAACATCTGGTCATGAGCCCCAGTCGGGGCTCGACACCAAGATAGACAGACAGACTGGGTGAAAAAGAGACGTCTTTGCACTTTCAATGCTCAGAGGAAATTCCAGTCGTCCACCTACTGGTTGTTAATGAGCTAAGAGTTGACAGTAATTGGTTTGATCAGGTGTATACATGAATGGAAGACTGGAAGTACAGTACTGAACATAATTACATAAAACAAAAAATGAGCATTAAACAGATTATTTTCTGTTAAATTCTTGCTCTTGCATTCCATTTCCATAATGGATAGTTTATTTCTTGCTTACTTTCCTTATTTTAAAAAAATGAAAGTAAGCTTATGTGATGCCCATACTGTGTGTCTGTGAATTCCCCTATTAACTTTTGAATGCCTGAACCAATTTTTATGAAATTTTGTATCTGTATCATGGCACCCATCCCCATCTTGACATTATACTTCATAAGTTCCTCCCATTAGTCTGGATGTCTGTGCATTATTGCTAGGCAATTACTCAGTAAAGTGTATTCCTCCTTTCCTTACTAGGCAGTGGCTCAGTAAGCATGTTCCTGCAGCAATGAACACACGCAAAAGTAGAATTGTGGGTCTGTGTATCCTATTGATGCTAGGTAACAACATGGTAAACATGTTGCCACCACAATGAAGAATTCTTGGGAGCATTATTTTCAGTGCAGGCTGTGTTATATCAGAGGAATATAGGCAGTTAGTTCTTCCCAGACCTTTAGTCATTGCACATGGTTTATATCTTTTCTTACACTGGATTCTCAGGACCACAGAAATTCTCTGCCAGTGATAGGTTTCTGCAGTGAAGTTCTGTTTAAGATTGGTTTTACTGTATCTGCAAATTTTAAATGTGGCAAATTTTGTAGAATGGCCTATGCAAATTGAGTTCTCCTCAAACTAGGCAGAATTGTTACAACAATTTACAGCATGTTAAAACTTATTTATGGAGGAGAAAATGAACATATCTCTAACATATGAGTGATTTTTGAAGTTGACAGGGGGAGTGGCTTCTGTTGAGGATTCTGACTCTATAGCATTATTTTTCAACACTGATGGAATTTTTTTATCAAGATTTGGTCCCATGGGGACAAACTGAGAAGCAGTATTTCTGCACAGATATGAGAACTTGCATAGACATGCACAGTGAAGACTGGTTTGTTCCCCATCGTAATATTTGTGCTCCAATGAGACAGCACATCAGCTATTCATTGACTTCAAGAAAGCCTATGATTCAGTTAGGAGGGAAGTATTGTGACATATCTAACCATTGCTGGGCAACGGGAGGTGGAACAAGTTACCACAAAGACAGACCCTTGATAAACAGTCGGTTGCCAGGTTACACAACAGTGGAAACAAGGTTACGCAACAGTAAGGAAAGCTGCGTTTGTCGGTACCAAAGCGTGCTGGTTGCACACCTTTGTAAACACGGTGTCCTGCAACAGGGGACCCCATGCAGCGACTGTTGCTAGACAATCGGTAAGCACGACGTCACGCAACAGTGAAAGCTATCACGTAACTGGTTTCTGTGTTGTCAGTGCGGAAGCTGCATAACAGGAGTATTCGTCAGTGAGAGGGAGTAACCAGTCAGTTGCAGTCTAGCATCTGCCAGAGTGAATGAAAGCAGGAGAAGTCATTGTGATACTGCTGATGGCAGTAGTTGTGGAACTGTAAATTGTGTAATGTGCAATAAACTTGCTAGGTTCAGAATGGCGTGAAGTTATTTGTCACATGACCTATCCAACACGTGAAAGTATCATACAATATTCTGATAGAATTTTGGGTACCTATGAAACAAGTTAGGCTGATTAAAATGTGTTTAAACGAAAAGTATGGTAAGTCCATATAGGGAAACATTTGTCTGATAATTTCCCTATCCAGAATGGTCTAAAACAAGGCGAAGAGATGGAACTCAGGTAATGCTTGCTACCATTCAGTCCAGAACCTTTTGTCTTCTCGTCCGCTGTCTAAAAACATAAAAATTAGAATATACAAAACTATAATTTTGCCTGTTGCTCTGTATGGGTGTGAAAATTGGTCTCTGACATTAAGGGGGGAACATAGACTAAGGGTGTTTGAGAAC